TAGTACTGAGACCTGGAGCTAACCTGCTGTGCCCTGTAATCAAGAGCTGATGTTACTATATTGAAGGGCTAAAGCACACTGAGCAAACCCTGACCAATATTTCCAGTCTAGCTTAAAAAGTATTTCATTCAAAGTGACTACAGAGTTACTAACTAAAGCTGAAGAAAATTCTCCAGAATTGGTCAGTCATTTTCAGGAATGCATCAAGTGAAGAACTGTCAGTATTAGAGCTCTTAAAGAGTGGTCAAGAGTTCAGTGATGCTCCAGGTTCTAAAGTTTTACAAATAGTAGTGACTTTTAAAATCTCAAGGAGTCTCCCAAGGAGTTCCATTGATTTAATGCAATGCATACTTGGATGTGAGAGCTTTAAATTTGCTCATGATGATCATGAGACACATTTGAAGACAGTTGCCCACGAACATTTGATTATCCATTATCTTATTGCCCAGGGCAGTGGCATTCAGGGGAGAAATGATTGAGATTGGCAGAATAACAGAGATTTGTTCCCATGGTGCTCATCTCCATGAGGTCTTCGAGGGTCCTATGACTAGGAGAAAGGCAGATAATGAGTAATAGGAAATACATTTTTTCCAGTATTTCTAGACTACTGAGGCCTGCATGGTTTATGTGATGAAGGGGCAAAGGGGCATGCTAAAACTGTTTTGCCTGAAAGGGTTTATTCTCTGGAAATTTCTATAGCACTGGAGTATATGAACGTCAGGATGAATTCCCCATCCACACTCCAGCAGCTGGCAATAAGAAGTCTACTACAAGATTAAGCCCTGGTTTTCTCTGCTCTGAAGAACCTGCCCATGGTACTCTTCCCACCGCTATTCAAAGGCGCTTTCGATGGCCAACAAACAAATATCCTGACAGCGATCGTGGCAGCCTGGCCCTTCCGATGCCTTCCTGTGGGAGCCCTGATGAAGACCCCTGACCTGGAGACCTTGAAGGCTGTGCTGGGTGGCCTTGATTTGCTGATTAAGGAAAAGGATAGACCTAGGTAAGTGAGAAAAAGGTAGTATGGAGGGGAAGAGTGAATGGAGGGAAGTGACTATAGAGTTCAGAATGTGGTCCAAGTTGAATCAGAGCTTTCTTAAACAAATGATAAAATGAGATGTCCCGCGCCCGCTCTGTATTCCTCGCCAGCAAGAAATACACGCAGGACACTCGGATCCTTCTGCAGACAAGCTTTAATGCATTAGACTGAACAGAGACTGAGCAGAGAGTGAGCAGAGACATTGAACCAAGAAAACCATCCCTATATAAAAGGCTGACCAGCCGCCTGGGACGTATTACCCTATGAATGGCTTTAGCTCCTCAGGCT